GCCTGATGGCAAACAAACAATAGGAGTTTGTTTTTATAGTTCTACAGGTTGGGAAGTTCAAAATCAAGGCACCAGTGGATTCTAATGAAGATGGTATCATCTGTGTCCTCACATGGTGGAAAGGGAAAATAAACTCCCTCAAGGACTCTGTTCTCATAACTTAATCACCTCCCAAGGGCTGCACTCCTTACTACTGCCACCAAGGGGATTAGGTTTCAACACAGGAATTTTTCAGGGACATCAGCATTCAGACTACATCACAGCTCCAGCTATGTCTAACTGTATCACTGAATATATCACATCCCATAATTTTAGTTTATCTGTCTAGCAGTGCGACATAACTCTTACTTATCACAAGCAAGAACGTTTAATATTCATTTTTATGTGTATAGTATCCAACCAGTGTCTGGAACTAAATGGAAGTGCAAAGAATGGTTAATGAATACCTTTTTTAAAAGGAATATGTTTCTTTAAAATACATTTTTATATTATATGTATAATATCTTAGGTGAATCCTTTTCCTTCAACTTTAGACATATCAGGGTAGTCCCACTATATTTGAAAGTCCCTCTGTTTTTCAAATTTTGATTCACAAAATGATAGAAAATTACGGAAAAACATTTAACAAGAATAATTGCAAATATTTGTATGGGTTTTAATGGCAAAATATTTATAAATAACTTTGGCTGGGAAATTTTCTGTGGGTATCTGATAAAATGCTTCACTCTCAGTGGTCAGAAGACATTGTTTAGATTAGTGGCTTGTTCCTGTTTGTAAAGGACACTGTCAAGTGACTCCCCATATTGTCATGTTATACCAACTTCAGGTTCTGTATACGTCAACATTTTATCTTCATTGTCATTACTTAATAGTTATTTAAAGATTTAATGGACACCTTTTATATGGTAGATGCTAAGTTATAATGTAAACTCCTTTTATTGGGAATTTATGTAGTAGGTATTAAGAATAGTATACACATATTGAGGTTAATCCTAACTATAATCTATTGGCAGGAGCCTCTATATACTTATGTACAGAAATATTAAGTAATTTGCTCGAGGCCACATGACTAGTAAATTACAGAGCCTCAGTCATGAACTCAGGTTTCTATGATAATGTTATTCTCTTGTAATTGTTAGCTGCTCTTATTAGATCCCTTTTGAGTTTCATGTTGTTGGTTAGATGTCAAAACCCCATTTATATATCTCTCTTTCATAGTAACATTGTCATTATGTACAAAATTTTGAGATACCTAGCAATCAGCCTCACTTTGGGTGGTAAACTTTTGGAGCTAGACACTACTCATTGCCAGGTCCTTTCTATGAAGGATCTATATTGTTCTGCTCTCTGATATATAAAAAGTACATTTTAAAGAAGGTTTAGATGGTTGTATATCATAAAGTTCTTCATTAAATTTTCATACCATTAATTCATTCCATAAATATTTATTAAGCATCTATTATGTACAAGATACATCTAGGCTTTGGGATTATACAGAGAAAGAAATAAAGCTTTTTTTTTTGGTTGTTTGAGAGATTACATCAAATAGACAAATATAGACAGATAAATAGGTCATTGTTATACTGAGTAACAGGTGTCTTGCCAAAAGTAAGCACAGAGTGCTATGGATATGACCTGGACATTGGGCTAGAGAGTTACAAATGGATCTTGGAAAAGTACTAGAGCTTCCGCTGAAGGCCCAGAGGAAGTATTACTCAAGGAGAATATTGTTCTTTGTAGGTGGAACTGAGTGGACAAAAATCTGGAGGCCAAATCTTACTTTCATAGTGATAGAAAAAGACATAGTTGAAAGGTGTGCTGGAGGTCTTTGGTTTCATAATGAGTTTAGACCCTGTCCTGAGAAAAGTGGGAAAATGGTGAAGAGATTTAAGCAGAAGAGCAGCAGATTTGAGTTTTACAAAAGTTCTTTTGATTGTTGTTATGGTTTGAATCTGAGGTGTCCTCCAAATAGCTCACATGAGAGACAATGCAAAAAAAGGTTAGAGGTGAAATGTTTGGGTTATGAAGAGCCTTAACCTAATCAGTGTATTAATTCAGTTAAATGAATTAACTGGGTGGAAGGGAGGGTATGCCTGTAGGAGGTGGGTCGTTGGGGGGCGTGCCGTTGCGGTATATATTTTGTCCCTGGTGAGTGGAGCTAGACTCTTTCTGCTTCCTGACTGTCAAGTTCTGAGCTGCTTTTTTCCACCATATCCTTCTACCACGATGTTCTGCTCATCTCGGGTAAAAAGCAATGGAGCTGGCATCTATGAATTGAATTTCTGAAACCACTTCCCCTCCAATAAACTTTTCCCTTTCTAACTGTTCTTGTAAGTTTTTTTTTTGGGGGGGGTACAGTGTCAAAGCAGTTAACAATTGCAGTATAGAAATCAAATGGATAAAATAAGTACTAGAAAAGAGGAGATATAATAAGTGGGTGTGGACCCAATCCAGCAACTCAAGGTGCTGACCTAGGCTTGAGGGGTCTATTAAGAGAAATGAATAAACTGAAGAAATATTTTTCAGAGAGAGAATTGATGAGAATTTTTGGCAGAATGCAGGTGGGAAGAAATTTGAGGAAGAAATCAGAGATAATATCCAGGTTTGTCTTGGACATCTTATACCAAGCCAGATAACTCAGAGCATAAATGCTTTTATAGAGAGAAGGATGATGAATTCTGTTTTTGACAGGCTGAGTCCACGAAGCAGGTAGAACATCTTAGAATAGATTTAAGCTCTGTTGGTCATTACGAGATTTACAGAAACCTTAAAGAAAATAACTATATGGAATGTATGTCTACCATGAGTCCAAAAGTTTTTTAAACTTAAATTATTATCACAGAGAATTCTTTTTGAGTTTAGTATAAGCTAGAAGTTCAAAATTTCCTTATAACCCTTAAAACATTAAATGCATACTTTGATATGATACTTAGTAACTACTTAAACTTAGTTTCCATTGGCATGATTCCAACCACTAAGATTATACAATTGAAAACAGATATCCCCACATGTCTTCAATACATCAGCTATTTCCCAGGCTCTGCACATGAGAATAGACCAAGGTCAAATTTCTAACAATAGCAGATAGCAATGTAGAAATATTCTCAATCTTTCTGAATTCTTGAGTTCAAATTTTGATTTTCATAGGAGGCTAGATAACTGGCATAAATTCTATTCTAATCCTATACCCCAAAGAATACTTTTTAGATATTTCATTACCTGAAACCTATCATTTATTAGGAAAGAATAATATCATATGCTCACAATGTTTCAGAAGCTAATTTTTAACATTTTATATACTTAGGCTTTTGTACCACTAATAGACCGAAAATAAATGCTGTTTTCAATGTTGGAAGTTGACTATTTTGTGTCATTCAAATACAGGAGCACTGTCCTAGGTTTGTGAAGAGCCTCCACCAGCTGGTAGTAGTGAGTCAGGACCATCAGCCTTGTACTCAGAGCGGGTCTGTATTGTTAGTGTTGACCCAGTTTCTATGGCCACTGAATAACTCTCCTAGAGAACACAACAGCATGCATAGTACCAAATAATGAAACGAGAACAGACTCAAATAATCTTAGTCAGAACTACAATCAGTCTGATGAAAATGATTTGATTCAAATTCCTGAACAAAGACTGAACCACTGATAAATTCTACTGAAGCATAGACTTTGTAGGCCTTAAATAAAAATGAATTCACTTCACAGTAAAAAATAACACTTGAGGGACTTTTATGTCCACCGGGCAAAGTCATTTGGATGAAAGCAACCATAAGTGAAAAGCACAGCACCTCACAAATGCCATTGGATATGACATCGTTCTGGGTTTCATCAGAATCTTTTTAAGTCCCTTTTCAGTGCCACATCAACCTGATACTCAAAAATGCAGCAGAGAAACAAAGTAACATAATCAGAGAGTGTATTAAAAGGTCTATTAGCAAAGCAGCTCAGTCCATTAGTTGAAGGGAAACAGCTGTGGATGCTGATACTCTTAATAAATTAACTCTCCTTTTGCTATTTACAAGAACTCTCTGTCATCATGCCTGTTATGTCTGTCATTTGCACCTGGTATGAGGGTTTTATGAAGCAATCACATATCATTTACAAGTTGTCAAGAGCCACTGCATTGTAGAATCATCATTTCTAAATGCTATAGTCCTTTGATTCTAAAGAGGGGAAATGCACATCAGTAGATAAACCACTGCATTTAATTTATTCACTGAAAGATATGCATAATTTAAAAACACTTTTTTAGTTTCTATGTTCTTTGGCCATGCTTAATTAATCCTAATCATTTTTCATATCAAACCATGATTTAGGATGTCACTCAAATGTATGCTTCTGCTTAGAATTAATATTCAAACAATATTTTCTTTTCTGCATGATAATAGCTTTCTCAAAAAAGGAGATTCCTCTGTTCTCTCTTCAGATCCTCTCTTTTAACAAGGCAGTTACCTACCTGGTCAAAGAGTTATAAAGTTCCTTGGACAATGTGGAGGCTTTTTATTTAACCACTGATAATTATGTGCTCATGAGTTTTTGTTTACCATTGGCAAATGTTTTTGGTTACTGAGAATGTGTGCTTGTCACAAAAGACCCTGACCTTTATCTACATTTGAATTAAACATAGCCAAAGATCAACCAAATACAGAGAAATTAGACCATCCCTAAAAACACCTAGCCCATGTCACCGTGAGTTTTTCTCACACATCGTGAATATACACTGTCATGGTGCCAAAGATTAATTTTCAAATAGTCTTAGAATTTCTTATTTAAACCAAGTGACCAGACAATTGAATTATCAAGATATGAGTCTGCTAAAATTCCAATGCATGATTATAGGTATTTTTGTTATTTATGTAAATAAAACTGGAAAACTGACATAGAAGCACTGGTGGGGCCTATGGATTGGCTAAATTGAAATTCCTTCTGACCCCAAAAGAGCAGGCAAAAACTCAACATATTTCTCAGATTATATTATAGTGTGAGTTCCTGATACTTACCAACTGGATGCTCTCATGCAAGCTCTGAAGGAAACTGTATCCTGAGAGAAGAGAAGCAGGTTGCGAGGTAGCTATTTTGAAAGCATCAATCAAGGCAGAGGTGGCTGGTTCTGGGCCCAACATCAATAGTCAGGTTCCTCAATTAGCAGATAACATGCTGCCTTCATAGTCCTGCTGAAGTGAAGACAGATTTCCTGATGAAAAGAGAAAACTTAGTCACTCACAGTAATTTGGGAGGAGGTGATTGAGGACAATTTTGTCAAGACCAAGAAAAAATATTTTTTAAAAATGTTTTTGAATACTGTCTCATATCCATTATTACCGATCAATTTTAAGTTTTTAAAATACAATACTATGTATCCCTATTCATTTGCTAATGGGGAGTTTGGATGGGCTATTTGTGATTTTGCACAATGTTGGCTCATGGTTTAACCACTGGAAGGTGCTTTATATCTGTGTTCCGCTGGTTCTTCTGTGCATAGTACAGGAGTGTATATAGTGTGCACAGATAAAGTTGTGACCAATTAACCCAATTTGCCTATGACTGCTCCAGTTTTAAAACTGAAAAACCTACATTGAAAGAAAATCTTTGGTCCTAGACAAATAAGGATGGCTGGTCACTGTTGGTAGATCCCTTCTATTTCCCCTTTCCTTGCACTAACAGCTTTTATATATTAGAAATGCACCACCGCTAAGTTTTTCTCTAGCTACTAGTCATTTCAGAGAGCAAACATCTACCAGTGTTGTCTCTAGTAGGCCTTATTCCTTTGAGCCATGATCTTTTCTTTTCTTCTTTTCCCAGAGGACCACACATCCCAGCCCAGATTAACTGCCTGGTTCTTCCTTGGGGCACAAATGGCAGAAAATATCCCCTAATGCAGAAATAACTGAAGACAGGCATGGAGCTTATTTTTGGTATCATGGCAACCAGTGCTGGCTGTTTTTGAGCTTCTTGTTAGTAATGAAAGTTATTTTGCATATGATTACTTGTTAACTGGGCTAGAAACTTCTAGCTCCCTGGAAGTTTTGCTTTCTTATAGATTATTTCCCCCTCAGAAACCTTTATAATTAAAAGGGATTGGCAGATGCCACACAAATAATAGGAATACCTGCCACTGTCCTTTTTCAAATAGTTGAGGGTGTCCTTGCATCCTAGGCCTAAATTACTTTAGGCTGTTTCTTGTTCCTTTGACTACTAAATGACAGAGAACAAAAAAATGTACCCAAATATTATTTTTCTTCCATTTAACAGCTTGCTCTCCATCCTATTCAGGTATATGCATCACAGTGGCAACTAAAAATGGTTGGGGTTATTTGGTGATGTCTCACCCACTCTCATCTTTGACAAAGAAAAAAAGTTTCTGGCCTTGATAATTTGTAATTCATCCTTAATTTATGTGTGCAGTTTTATTTTCAATTACTCTCCCTTCAAGCATTTTAAAGAGATAATGTCATCGATTTAAAAATAAAACACTGATCACCATTTCCTTCTCTGTTGACCCTGTTGCCACCATTGGAATACTCTCCTTACTCTTGCTGGTACACATCCCTCAACTCAGGTAGTTGCTGTTAGAAGTGCCATTGCCACCACTATTAAGATTAGGATCACTTCAATGTCTCTAACTTCTACTCTTACCTCCACATTGTTCAATAATGAGATGGGTTAGGATGTGCCTGACCCTGTATTGAGCACTTTACAATAATTGTCTCATTGAAATCTTCACCACAATTCAGTGAGTAACTCTTATTTCTGTTTCCTAGGTGAGACATGAGAAAATAAATAACTGTCCTAAATGACAAAGAAAGTAAGTGGCAGGTATTGATGTGAATGCAGGTACTTTTGACTTTAAAACTCACACTGCTATGTGTAAAAACTCTTTAATGTTGCCGTGCCCAGGAAAACTGTCCTTGATGATTTCAATGTACATTGGTATCCATTCATTCGTGGCACTGATTTTCTATATTGTTCATATAAGAGGTCACTAAGTGGCATGCACATATATTTTCATTCAGTGAGATAAGAGGCAAATTTTCCTGTCTCTTTGCCAATGTTGACTACATAGTTAAAATTTAATAACTAACTTAAATAGACTTAATTATTTAATCTCATTTTTTTATTGAAGTAAGCAAATTATTTCCAACATTATCTTTCTTTTTTCATTTTATTATTTTTTACTTTTTGGTACTGGGGGCATGTGCCACCACCCCTGGTGGCTGATTCTTTTTAATATTTTTTATTTGTTCTTTTTAGTTATACAAGACAGTAGAATATATTTTGACATATCGTACATATGTGAGTATAACTTTCCATTTTTGTGGTTCTGCGTGTCCAATGTTATCTTGAATTCAAATAGTTAAAGGATTGGCTTCAGAATCATTTATTTGACACTGTTGTACTATAATTAATATAAAATGTTGTGGGCTTAGTGAAACAATAATGGATATAATAACATTATATGGTACAATTTTATATAAAATATAAATATAAAAATAAATATAAATCTCAAGACATGTAACCATAAAATATTAGAGATATAGGACCTTCTGAAAGATGTCAGAATCTTCAGAATCAATTTCATTGGATTTTTAAGTATGATTTTGAAACAATATTCCTGCCATCACCTCTGTAACTTCACTCCTGCCCAAGCATTGCGTGATTCTCCCAGTGTACTTCTCTCCTTCAAATACTAGGCCCTAACATGGTCATCCTCAGAAAAATTGGATCATTGTCTTAGCAAACAACTCAGTTGAAGTTCTCTCTGCATAAAGATTCTTCAAACTGACTCTGCTAAACACTTGTCTATGTATGGTATTTAATTAATTCCAGGAATATGGAGCTGACAATCTAGAAAGGAAGACAGGTGTGTAATAATAGCATGATGTGAGAGGGGAGGCAGTGTTGTTTTACTGACTAGGCACTCTGGGAACAGAACGAAGGGACTATATGCTTTTTAGAGGGGAACATGAAATACTTTGATGCTTGAAAATATGCGTTGGTGCCAAAATATAAAAAAATCAACCTTGAGAGCTGAGATTGTGGCTCAGTGGTAGAGCGCTCTCCTAGCACATGTGAAACTCTGGATTCAATCCTCAGCACCACATAAAAATAAATAAAATAAAGGTTTTAAAAAATTTAAAAAAAGAAAAGTCAACTTTTAAATTAAATATTTACTTTATTTGAATAACATCAATACCACTCATTGATACAAGTTGATAGTATTGTGAATGATTCTATCCTGGGTTTAAATGCTTGTCCTCATATATACTAGTTATGTATTCTTGGGTATGTAATTTAGACATTTTTCCTGTTGGTCCAATGTGGATAATCATAGCCTCACTAAGATGGTTGTGACAATTACATATGTATAAAATGTTCTGATCATGCTAGTAAGTCACTGATCCAAAAATTTAGCTATTAGTAATATATTAATTTTCTAGGATGTACATTTAAGTGTTAGACATAATGTAGGGTGGGATCTACAAATGTAAGAACTCCCAGGTCCTTGATGGTCTTAGAATGTCTCTTGGAAGTCCTAGAGATACATATCTTTGGAAGAAGAAGGCTGTGATATGAGTTCTGCTTGGATAGTCAGAAGAGGACTCAAAGGAAAATGATCCAGCGGAGTCTTAATCTTTTCCGGTTTTACTTCTTTGATACTTGTGTGATTACTTGTTTCCAGGTCAGAGGAATAAACCTGGAGATGAAACACTGGATGAACTGCAGCTTTTCTCATTCTTTTATTGGGATACATTGCCTTTCTGTCATGTTTTGGACTTGTGCCTGGCTATTTTAAGTTTTCCCCAGGCCTTCTTTCCCTGTTAGGCTTTGGCTTTGTTAGTTCTTTCTGAGAATGAAGGTTAATAGCATTTTTTTCCTTCTATTTGAAAATAATGAATTTTTATTCAGGCATAAAGAAAATGAAATTATGTCATTTGCAGGAAAATGAATGGAACCCAAGAGCATTTGTTAAACAAAATAAGCCAAACTCAGAAGGTCAAGTGTTGTATGTTTTCTCTCATATGTGTAAGTTAGAGAGGAAAAAGGAAAAGAAAGCAGGTAGTGGGGGTGGCAAGGATCTAATAAAAATCAAAGGAGATAAGTAAAGAAAAGAAACAAGTGGGGCAGGGGAGTTGGGGAGGGAGGAGGAAAGTGTTGGGGAGGAGAGTGATATTGGCCAAATTATATTGTTATATTTTGTGCATGTATGAATATGTAACATAAATCATATCATTATGTACAACTGTAATGCACCAATAAAAAAGGGGGGGAAGAAAAAAAATAATAAACTTAAACATTTTATCTCTAATATTCATGCATTTATTTCAACAATTCAGTAAAATGAATTGGAAAACTTCATGTAGGATAAAATAAATGAGCAATAATTTACCTAGAGAAAGCTAAATTACTGTAAAAATTTAATTTTATTTTCTCCTATTTCAGGAAAGGCACAGGTTAATATGCTGTGACATTAAATCTTAAGTGATTCTTAACATTTGAAAGTATTTTCATAAAAGCATATTGTATTTAGTGTTTCTCTTTAATAGCAATGTGAAATCCTGACAGCTTGAAACAAACTGTATCAATTAACATTTTGATCGTCTGTAAATATTAAGAGATGTCATTTATGTGCATGGGCTCTTTTGTTTATGCTAAAGACCAAAGACTTTTCTATATGATTCACTGAAAGGAGATTTTTATTTCTAGAACCTGAATGTAATTATAAAATATGTTAAGTCAAGACAGACTCTTGCATGTGAAAATATCCCCATGAAATGAGAGTACCAGCTTTGAAAAGCTCATTTGATATTGAATTTGACCATAGTGAAAGGAAAAGTTATTTTCCTTTGTAATTAATCTATGATGGGAAAAGATTTATAGCAGAAAGTTTATGCAATATTTGTTCAATATTATGTAAGATATGAAATGTTTTGCAAATAAAAATTTTGGAGTGAAGCAATATTAATTTTAGTTCCGTTTTTGGTCCTATCTCTTATTAAGTTTCCCAATATCTCTAAGTATGTTTCCCCATTTGTAAAATTAAGTTGACAATTCTCACTTCACAGTTTTAATATAAAAATTAGAAGAGAAATATTATGAAGCAATTTTATTCTTGAAACAGAATGGGGTATATACATATTTCCTCCTCCTTTATAAAGTATAATTAATTCTACATTTATTCTTGTAATCCAGAAA